TTTTGTATTTTTAGTAGAGACGGGGTTTCACCATGTTGACCAGGATGGTCTCAACCTCTTGACCTCGTGATCCACCACCCACCTCGGCCTGCCAAAGTGCTGGGATTACAGGCGTGAGCCACCGCGCCCGGCCAAGGAACGTTTTTTCATTGGGTTCTTCCTCCCTATCTTCTTTGTGGGGCTAAGGCTGGAAGACAACAGGGGCTCATTTTTTAAAAAGAAAAACAGTTGTTTTCAAACCTGAAGTTGACCTTACTGCTAAAAAACAAACCTAGCTTTCCAGCCTTACCTAGTGTTCTTCTTATGAATCAGTCAGACAGTCTACTTGCTGATGCTGAGAGCAAGTTCTGCCCTCTCCAGGCTTCTTCATTGGTCTAAGAGCCCTGAAATGCCCTTGTCCCTCCTCCCGGTCTGCTCAAGCCCTAACTACCCTTCAAAGTAAACCCTCTGGGATGAAGAGCTTCATGACAACTCCCAGACCAGATATTTTTCTCTGACTTATCTAATAACATAGGTCATGGGTTAGTTTGCTAATGCAGAGAGACACTACTGAAAAGAAAAGCCTGCGCCAGAGAGTGTATTTAGTGATTTAACTCCATTTGGAGAGAATTTGTTCAGGTTAGAAACTAGGGCCTGAAGCTAGTGAATGAAAGATGGAACACAAGGTTCCCAGAGGACATTCTGCTGTCAGTCAACCTATTCTGCTTTCTCCTTCCACTCAGTTACCTCTATCTTAGCTCCCGGCCTGCTCAGTTCCCCTCCTGCTCTAGTGGCCTCTGTCTCCCCTACTCTCCTGAATAAATTGGAGAGTTAGGAAATGATAACTTCTTTGACAGGTACATTGGCAATATTTCTATTCTAACAAAGGCCTACTCTAGAGACATCAATAAGAGAAATCAGAGAAACAGCCAAAATTTTAAAAGGGTAAGAAGCAATGGGAAATGGAAAATTGGGAAGCCTCACTTCAAAAAGAAGTGCAAGGTGTTCTTGCCAGATGATATTCACCAAATCCAGTATTCTGCCATCAAAATTTGCTCTGTAGGAGTTGGTTTCACAGTCACTTTGAGCTGTTTTCAGAGAACCCTCTCCATTGGTTCCTCCTGTTTTCTCAGTCTTCCCCAGTATTTATGTGTAGAGAAAGCTATAGACCCTCTT